GAAAGACTGAAGCCCACCGTCAATGAACTGATTGGGCCTTATCAGTGCGGCTTTAGACCTGGCAAATCCACCATAGACCAGGTATTCACAATACGCCAAATCTTGGAAAAGACCCACGAGAAAAGGATCGACACTCACCACCTATTGGTCGACTTTAAAGCCGCTTTTGACAGCACTAAAAGAAGTTGCCCATACGCCGCTATGTCTGAATTTGGCATCCCCTCAAAACTCATAAGGCTGTGTAAAATGACGTTGAGCAATACCACCAGCTCCGTCAGAACTGGAAAAGGCCTCTCTTGTGTGACTTCTTTAATCTGATGTTGGAGAAGATAATAAGAGCTGCAGAACTGAACCGCTCAAGAACAATTTACTATAAGAGCGTGCAATTGCTGGCTTATGCCGATGACATCGACGTCATCGGTAACAAAAACCGCGAAGTCTGTTCTGCCTTTTCCAAGTTGGATAGGGAAGCAAAGCGCATGGGTCTGGTGGTAAACGAGGACAAGACGAAGTATCTCCTGTCATCAAACAAACAGTCAGCACATTCGCGCCTTGGCACCCACGTCACTGTTGACAGTTACAATTTCGAGAAAGTAGAGAATTTCGTTTACTTGGGAACCAGCATTAACACCGATAATAATGTCAGCATTGAAATCCAACGTAGAATCACTCTTGCCAACAAGTGCTACTTTGGACTGAGTAGGCAATTCAGGAGTAAAGTCCTCTCTCGACGTACGAAAACCGCGCTCTATAAGTCACTCATCATGCCCGTGCTGGTATATGGCGCAGAAGCATGGAAAATGACAACATCCGATGAGGCGGCTCTTGGAGTGTTTGAGAGAAAGATGTTGCGGAAGATTTACGGGCCTTTACGCGTTGGCGACGGCGAGTACCGCAGACGATGGAACGATGATCTGTATGAGCTTTACAACGATATGGACATACTGCAGCGAATTAAAATACAGCGGCTCCGCTGGCTTGGTCATGTCGTTCGAATGGATACCGACGCTCCAGCTCTGAAAGTATTCAACTCGCAACCCTCTGGTCGTAGCAGAGGAAGAGGGAAGCCCCCACTGCGATGGAAAGATCAGGTGGAGAAGGACTTGTCTTCACTTGGCATTTCCAATTGGCGTCAGTTGGCACAGAGGAGAAATGACTGGCGTGCTTTGCTGAACTCGGCCAAAATCGCTTAGGCGGTTACAGCGCCAAAAAAAAGAAGGAAAAGAAGAAATGTATTTAATTTTAATTTTTAACAATATAAAACGCGTTTAATAATTCCACTACTTTCATTCAACAAAGTAAACAAGCAAACAAATCGAGAATGGCTGTAATTGTGAATAGAAAGGTGCTACCAGATGTTTGAAAATTAAATACACTTAAATGAAGGGATGTTCAACAATCTACTTTTGTTTCATAATGATCTCGATAACATTAAGGAATGAATATGTCTGCGGCGGTTTAGAAAAAAATCAATATTACGATGAATAATAAAAAATTGTTAGACTTTTGCCTGCGGCGCTTTTTTCATAAAAATCGTAACTTCGACAAATAATGAAAATTTTTAATAAACAATCGCGCGATTTTTTATTACAAATTTTCGCCTACGGCGCTTTTTTTATAAAATCAGTTCCTCGATAAATAATGAAAATTTTTTATAAAAAAACACCCGCGATTTTTTATTACAAATTTTCGCCTGCAGGGCTTTTTTTTTAAATCAATACTTCGATAAATAATGAAAAATGAAATTAATCTGTTCATATAACGTTTTTCTATATAATCAACAGTTTTGCCAGTAAAAATAAATGTATGAAGAAAAAAAATATTTTTTGCCTAAAATATTAAATTTTTTTAAATCTGTTGATTATATAGAAAAACGTTATATGAACAGATTAAAGGAATTGTAATTTTTAATTTTTTTTAAATTTGTTTGAGCAAAATCGGACAAGTGGTTCTCGAGTTATGTCAAAAAAAGACCACCAAAGGTGACAATTTCCCCTATATGATAGTTATATATATATCTCGATTCCTAGACGTGACCCAGCGAAATGCCGGGACACGTATAACTTCTTTTTTACCGATATAACTTTCCCCGGTAGTTTGAACCCTTCCCGATCACTGACCCCTACCATTTGTCTCACAGTGTAATATAACGAAGTATTTCAAAATTTAAATTTTGTGGGTAAACACAGTCAAAGTTTTATCAATTCATACAGTTGGTATACAAAAACAGAGATGGAAAGACACATATCTTCGCCATATTTGGGAAGTTTGGTTACATGTTAGACTGAACATATTCTACCTATCAAACTTATTAATTGCATAATGTAATCTCCAAAAACGTAAATTTTGGGTTACATGTCTATATTATTGAACGTGCGATATGTATGTATATTTAAAATAACGCTCGAATATCTGCACTTGCAGTATTCTCAATTAAACAAAAAAAAAATACTTAATACACACCTGCACAGGGCTACGAAAGCTATCGATTGAGCCCACACGATCTCGTCGGTGATAAGTCAGTCGACTCGAAACAATCGAAAAACATCTCGATTGTAGTCGGGCAGCGAGTCGATTATTGATTCGATTGTAATTTTGCAGCCAAGGCGATTCTCTCGATCGTTTAAACATCTCGGACTCGCCCATCACTAAGTGAACTGATTTTTATTTTTGCTATTTTTATTTAATGAAACAATGGAAATGATTTGCATCTGAAGCGATGAATTTGCTTTTCTTATGTTTAATAAAAATGTAAACAAAAAATATTAAAAAAATAGTGCAAGCATGACAAGACATTTCTTCTCATTTCTTCTGCAGCTTGTCGCATAGGAACGTTATCATTTGCATTAACCTCTTCTACGATTTCAACACTCCCGCCCTGGATGTCTGCAATGTGCACTTCTGCATAGAGGACATTGTAATGGTTGCAAATATTATGTAGAGCCGCACAAACATTTATGATTAAAGAGGCTTTTGCAGGAGTGTAATGAAGTGAGCGAGCATTTAGCAAACATCGAAAACGGCTTTTTAATACCCCAATCGTCCTCTCAATAATGTTTCTAGGTTTGGAGTGTCGGGTATTGTATAAGCTTTCTATAGATCCTGGTTCAGCATTTCCATAAAGGGTAGTACTCTCTTCACAGGCGTGAAATTCTCTAGCAACATCTATTTTGTTTGGCGTGAAATGTTGATAGCAACATTTATTGTCAGATGAGTAGAAACGCCAAAACTAAAAGTGAACAAATGTAAACAAAGAAATTGACGTGCATCGCAACGGTAGCAATCGGCAAATTTTGGTAAGAAAAGAGGCTTTAAAACAATTTAATACACTCAGAAAAAAGTCAGCCAAATATATTTCTCTCAACACATGATTTGGTAATTATAACCAAATAGTGTAACTATAACCAAATCATGTGTTGATATAAACATATTTGGTTGACGTAACTAAACTCTTTTCTCAGTGTATTACTAATGAAGTTATTTTTTACAGATTTAACTACTTCCAATTGA